CCCTGCTTCTCAGCAGTTGTGTCAGCAAATATTACTACTGCTACTGGCAATAAATACAAACTCCATTCCCCAAAAGAGTTGATTTTAACCTGAATTAGCCTCTCATTTCCTTTCGGTGAATGGCTACGTGAACGGATGTGTCAGTAGAAAATGGGATGGGAGTTGGATTAGCAATGAGCTGCAGGAGAAGAAAATGGGAAAGGATAGCTCTTGAAGTCTCTTTTATACTAGTGTAATTGCAACTCACATTGAGCAGGTAGAAATATTTTAGTTAAAAATCACAGCCTTAAATAAACAAAGCTCCCTGTAGAGCTTTGAAGTGCTGACCAGCCTTTCCTAGTACATTAATGTAAACACTTAAAGTATCAGTTTAGATCTGAACAAAAGATACTTCTTTAGTCAGTTTAACTAGTGCATGCTTGTTGTTGAAATTTGCATTTCTTTATGCCTCATCTTGGATGACTGTAAAAAATGACTACATGATCAGGCATAACTGTAAGGTCTAATTTAAGTTAATGCCTTTACTACAGTAGGAGCAGAGTAAATTAGAGTAGTTGATTATGCTTTTTTTATTTTATTGCCGATGGTTAAACTCACAGTGTAGCAGTTAGTGTTAGCAATCAAGCTATGGTATGCTGTGCCTGGTGAAGTGAAGCATATTTCAGAGAAAGTACTTCTGCAGCTAAAAGCCATAGTATCTTGCAGAGATACTGTTCTTTTAATCCTCTCCAAGACTCTATATAATTCCAGGAAACAAACCAACAAAGGTCGGACAAAGTTTATTTTGGCATGAAAAGAGTGGAACACAGCTATTGAGCCAGCTGGCCCAATTGGGTGGCTTCCAGCCTGGTGTGAATGGCGTGGGTGCCTGGCTCATCCACCCTACGATTTATGAGTGAGGAGCGCAGGCGATGAGCACGTTCCCAACCTGCTGGCTGGAACCTGCCTGCGGCAGGTAGTCAGTTCATTAACCGAAAGCTTTCCTAGAGGTCAGCAGCCCAAAACTCAAAGCTGTGGTGCAGAAGTTCCGGTGTTGTTTTTGATGGTTTGGTGGTTTTTAAATTATGGTGTTTCAAAATACTTCCTCTAGATGGCTGGTTAGCGCTACCAGTAAGAGCAAAAAAAGAGTATTGTTGCTTAATGCAAGGACTGTGTAATTTGTTCCTGAATTACTTTAATTTCTGGATATACCTCTGCCCTTAGAGGGGCACTTCACAGTGATTTAATTGTACTAGAAAAACTGGCTGATTAAAGCATTCCTATTACTTGTCTAGGACTGCTGTAATCACTGGGTTACCTTCCATGAAAAGTGCTATAGGAGCACACAAACACCGCAGCTCCCTCTGCAAGAGGTGAAGAGGGTCCAACTAGGAAGGTTTGCTGTGCTTGGAGGGGGGAAGCATTGCCTTTGGTTACCCAGGTGAAACAGTTTATTTCTGTTTAAATGAAGCTTGGGTTTGCTACCTAGTATGTGTATATGAGAAGTAAGAGTTACAACTATTTCAGTTCTTGGGCCAGAATGGCTGTTTCAGAGATGTAGACACTGTGTGTACTGACAAAATGCTTTGAAAACCAGGGTAGAGACCTGAGCCTGCTGTGGGGTAGGGCAGAGTGTCAAATTCTTGCTAGTACAGGATCTGACTTGATCTGAATGTCAGCTACCAGAAAATAAAATGTCAGTAGGGTGTGGGGGAGAATGCCTTTCCCCAAGAGGTGGTGCTCTGTTTTATTGTGAGGTGGAAGAATAGGAGGAAACACATAAAACGGACAGATGGCTGAAGGAAAAATACAGAACCTGAAAAATGAAAAATATCTAAGCTGTGGAAAAGGGCTTCATTTTCATGCTTCAGATGTGTACAGCACATATCCCACTCCAATAGCAAGGTATAAGCTGGTAGAGAGGTACTCGAGAGTCCTCATGCAGAGGGAGCTCAGCGTTTTTAGCTTCTTTGCAAATAAAACTAAAAAAACCTGTAAAGTTAATGTCTGTAATCCTGAACCTTTGATGGACCTCAGTAATACTGTTGACTAGAAAGCACATTTATATTTCATTAGAATAAAGCCCTCATGATAAAGGTGACCTAAGAGGGGAAAACGAGCTTGTGCACTTCTCTGTGGCTTATAAAAATGCATTAAAATTGTTCTTGCTTAACCTTAGAAATAGATTAAATGCTGTCTTCCTTGGTTTGGTAGAAGGTGTTTGGGGAAGCAAGTAACTGGAGCAGAAGATAACTTTGTTTTTAATTGTAGGCACTTGGCATTAGAATTGTTGTGTTTATTTATACCTTGCTGGTTTCTGACAGCTTCCACAAATGTGCTGAAACATAACAGAAATGCAGCCTCTCCTCTGAAGGTTTACAAGGGTTGGCATTTGTCTCAATTGCTTGTCATGGCTCATGACATGTTTCTTTTGTGTTAGAGAATGGTAGCTAAAACAAGGATAAAAAGCAGCAAATAGCCTAAGGCTGGAGGCTTTAGCCGGTGGCGTAGCTACACAGCTACATCTGAACGGATCAAAATCTGTCAGGTAGATGCTCTGAACTGTTGTTAATCCAACTCATCCACAAGCAAGACGTCTTGCGCTTCTGCACATGAACCTGGCTGCACCCCACGGCGTCACCCAGCAAATTCCTTTAACTTTAAAGGAATTTTTGTGACTTTATTCATGTAAAGGGCCATTAGCAAGAACATGGCTCTGCTCCTTGTGTTTCTAAATACAGGGGCTAATTAAGATGATAGCTGACAGAGTATCAGTGAGGTAGGAAGAGGGTGACAGCATGTTCTCCCCAGGTGTTTTGGGAGCAGCAGCACGGCTCTGGGTGCTCCTCCCTCCCGCTGTGAAGGGCAGAGCAGCCACAAAAGCCCTAGCGCTTGGGTGTATTTTTGCTCCTTCTTAAGAACAGTATTCAAGTTTCAACAATATAGTCAGATACTTTTTAGTCACGCTATTCTTAAATTGACAAGCTCTATTGATATTTTTTTTAATGAGTCATTTACATTTTATTTATAATAATATGACTTTTGCAATCTATTAACTTTATATTTGAGGTCTTCTTGATTACCTCCTCCCTATTCTGACATATATCTTCACATATGCACGGTCTCCCTTTTCTTTTGTATTGCTCCTGTCAGGACTTAACTGCCTGTATGATTTGCTTAGCATTTTTATTTTAGGGCTGACTATTCGGTATGAAGCAGCCACTGGGGCTTGAGCTTTGCCGACATGAATGAAAAGCAAGCTGTGAACAGCTATTCCTTTTCCCAGCCTCTGCGACACCTCTACAGCACTGCTGTCAGAGCCGATTGTGTGACTCCGCTCTAAAACACTCCAGGCAATGTCAGCCCGGTTAAAAACATGAGAACAGCCAGGCTGGGTCAGGTTAAAAGTCCATCCAGCTCCGATCCTCCTGTGAGTGATGAGTAGGGGATGCTTAGAGTAGCAAAACAGA